CTTTTACTACAGGCGCACAGCTGTAGATCGTACTCTGCTAGAACCTTGAGCATCAGGCATGGAAACATGCAAGTGATACCTGAAACAGATAGGCACCTGGATGTGTAACATTCAGTGTTTCACCCCACCCCACCCCACCCCACCTAAGCCCTCAAGCCCGTTAAGCGTTAGACCCCAGTCGCGGGGCCCTGAGCCCGAAAGCTGAACACCATAAGATCGAGGTTCGAACAAGCAGTAGTAGCTTTCGCTGCTAGTACCTACGCAGTCCTAGTAATTAGTAATGCAACATACCCTTATCCTTGGTCCAGCCACATGCACATGAAATCCAGAAGAGATCTCTTGAGACAGTTCTTTTCCAATTCTTTCTGTGACTACGACATGATAACCGGAAAGAACCAGACGGAGGTTGCTTGGGATTGTGTTTTGCTCGAGAGTATCTTTACGACACTTCCAGTTTCTGTAATGAATCGGCACCTGATTTAAGAAAGCCTTGGTGCATGCGAGGAGCTCCTAAACCCCAAACCCTAAACCGAATTCTCGGTTGCTGTATGTCCATGTACGTCCCCGACAGGTGCGCGAGAGCATTAAGGGCCGAGTGCGCGAGTTCATCGGCAAAGACAGCTATGCACCTCGGTCCGCCAAAACAACGCAAGGCGACCTATCAGTCCGAAGAATCAAAGCCTTGTATTGGTTTAGGGTTTAGGGCCTGTTTTGGGTATAGGGGTTTAGGGTTTAGGGTTTGGCTACGGTTCAGGGTCTGGGTGTAGCTCTGGGCCTGGATCGGAGTTCTTCCCTAAACCCTAAACCCTAAACCCTAAACCCTAAACCGTTAGCCTTAGAAACCTGTGCGCTGCTCCGAATCCCTAAAAGCCATCCAGCCTATCGAGCCTCAATCCCGAGTTCAAGCGAGTCGCATGCCTAAAATCAGCGCCCAGATTTGCAAAATCAAAAGCTCAAATACCTCAAACCCTAAACCCGAAATCCTTCAATCACGGTGGGTTCCGCTTCGCGCTTAACCTGCAGAGTCTATAAGGCCTTATTCATGTGCTAATGTTGTCCTAGCGTGTCGCGAACGACGATAGGAAGGCTTCCGCAGTTGTCGCGGTTTAGTGTTTAGGGTTTAGGGTTTAGGTTTAGGGTTTATTGTTTAGGGTTTAGGGGTTCATGTGCTGCAAGGAGTTTGGTGACCTCAGCAAAGAGGCGGATGCGCGCGTCAAGGACCCGACGTCAGTAATGCAGACTGCCGATGCATGAATCCCCTTACCTCAGTGCTTGGAGGTTCATGGGTAGTTATAAGTAGGGTTTTAAGTCCCCTAATATGGGTTATAAGTATAGCTACCCTACTTATAACCCCACTTACAACTACCCATGAACCTCCAAGTGGGGGCCGTGGTTCTAAGATGCTAACGTTACCCTAAACCCTAAACCCTAAACCATAGTAGGGTGGGGATTATGATCATAAAGCTTGATGATCTCGGGCTTGCCCTAAACCCTAAACCCTAAACCCTAAACCCTAAACCTAAGGATGTCAGAAGCCTCCTTGGCAGGGTTGAGGCCTCCTAAGGAGAAGGCTTGGGGTGTCCGGCATTTCGACTTTTGAGGCTGACTTAGCGGCTGAGGGTTTAGGGTTTAGGGTTTAGGGTTTAGGGTTTAGGGTTTAGGGTTTAGGGTTTAGGGTTTAGGGTTTAGGGTAGCATTTTCACCTGTTGGGCCTCATACAATCTTGCTATCATTCACAAGGTGAACCTTTTTTGGGCTGGGGTACACAGCCCCGTAGTAACTTATCCTAAATCCCAGATCCCTTTGGCTTAATTCAAGCCACTAGAACTTGACTTGTCGTTGGCGTTGCCGCTTATTGGGTATCGTTCTGCAGATGCAAGGGGTCATGGCTTAGCGGCTTAACGTCTTCCTGTGGGTGGTTGAGGTTACTGGTTCGCGGGCGCATGATCAGATCCTAAACCCTAAACCCTGAACCCCAAACCGTACTGTGTTGAACAAAAAGCGGACATCACTAACGAAGACGAAGCTCGAAGCCCGAACCGCCAAACTGTACATCCAAAATCCTGAACCTTACTAGCCTCTAAGTCTAAAAACCCTCACATGCGTTGAACCCTGAACCCTAAAGCCCTAAGAAAACTCTACAACCCTGTGTTTCAACCCACCCCCCTCATGCCCAGACATCAACCCTCCTTCACCTGAAAGCACAAACCCCACCTGAGTATTCCACACCTCTTGTTGATTATTTCTATTTATATTAACCCTAAACCCCTAAACCCTAAACCCTAAACCCTAAACCCTAAACCCTAAACCCTAAACCCTATTAGTTTTGTCTGACTCCAAGCCCTAAACCCCGAAGCCTTGCAGTCGGTGATTGCGGACATGCGCGGCAAAGAGAAGCGTGGCTGAAAAGTCCCGTTTCCCAGCCGCTTCGAACGGTCTGAAGGTCGGCGGTAAGCTTCCCCTAAGCCTTTATAAAGCCTAAACCCCTAAATCAGAGGTTGCTTTGAGCATTTACTGGGAGGGTGATGCGGCCATGGGCCATGGGACGGACGACGGGACTCTTGCCAAACGGGTCGTCAGTAGACTTGCAAAGCCAGTTACACTGTTTACACCAACCAGGTACGGACCTGAGATCACTTCGAGCTGTCCGGAGCTGTATTGCAAGGTTCCTTAACCTAGGCATGAGTCGGAGGTCTGTTGAAAGCTCTGGCATGCGACAGCATAGCTAGGGTTTAGGGTTTATAAGCTGTAAAGTTTAGGGTTTAGGGGAACCCAACTATAATCTGAATCCCGACATTCTATCAACACCGCTTCGGGTTGGAGGTCTTGTCCCTCGATGCCGAGACTCGAGGCCTTACCCTGAACGCTGCATCTTGCATAATGTAGAGGCCTTAATAATCAGAATAGGGTATGGGGGGAAAATTATACTGTAGTTATAATAAGGAACACCCCAAAACCCTACTCCAATTGTTAAGGCCCCTACATTACCTAAACTCTCACGAAGCCCTCACACCGGCATTTTGTATGGGCCATATCACTACTACGACTTTACCTAGCAAAGTAAGGTTTTGTTATGGCAAGTTCAAACGTGCTCGGGACCTCTCGGCCGCACACAGGAAACCTAAACCTGATAAGTCGCAAACCCAAAACCACTAAACCCGATGCCCTATACCCTAAACTCTAAGCCCTAAACCCTAAACGCTAAACCCTGAACCCTAAACCGTAAGCCTGAGGAACTACGAGCTTGGTGATCTTACCTTGGCACTGGACAAGATTGTCAAGGATGAGGTTTGCAAGGTCACCGGCAAGGACGCTAGCTGTTACGGGCTTCAGAAGTGGGTAGTTTCAAAAATTAGGGTCCCTTTTGGGGTCCTTTCTATAAGGGTGCCGTACTATATTGGGGACCCGAAAAGGGACCCTAATTTGGAGAGCTACCCAAGTGTTAGGCCAGTTTATTGTTGCGTGGTCGCGGCCCGTGGATTCCAGTTTCGGGTTCAGGGAGGCTCTTGGGCTTTAGGGTTTAGGGTTTAGGGTTTAGGGTTTAGGGTTTAGGGTTTAGGGCCCTCAACAAGGCGTCTACAGAACTCAATCATGCCGAAAGCCTCCATAAAAAAAGTTGTACAGTGCTCTTGTCCTGTATGGAACCTTAGATCAATTCCGCGCCTCGTTTCGGTTGATCTTCAGGACCCGGGCGAGTACGAGATGGGAGACCTGTCGAAGGACTCCGTGCGGTAGCTGGGAGGGTTTCGTAGTCGATCACCTATGTCCTATCATGTGCAGATATACAAGTCCTTATGCATGTGCATATGGGTACATACATATAAACACATAGCTATACATGTACACATGCTCCTGGAAGTCGATGTTTCAGGCGCAGCGTGTTCGTTTCGGCTCTAGTGGGCTCGTCTTCGGGTGGAGGGGTTCTCCTTCGTTCAACGCTGTGCTGGGAGGGTGCTTGTGAAGGTGAACTAACTTAATCCATGCCAGGCATACCTTTACCAACATTTCAACGGGGAAGAGTAGGACAGTGAACCCCGAAACCCCTTAAGCATGTAAACCAAAAAAAGCCTTGGAAGGGGGTTCTAAACCCTAAACCCTCAACCCTACATTAGGATATTACTGGCGGTCTTGGAGTCCTTTCAGGTTCCTTTAAAGGCTTTTTTTAGGTTCCTTGACGGATCCCCTTCAGGGCTCTATGCCCTCTTTACTGCCAGGAGGTCGATCGCCGTGTGAAGGTCGTCGTGGCGGATTTCTGCGGCAAGGCTTTGGGTTTAGGGTTTAGGGTTTAGGGTTTAGTAAGTCTTTAATCGTAAGGGTCAAGAAGTTTAGGAGGTGAGAGTTCAGGGATGGGTGGGTAGCTGTTTGGGTCATAGGGTTCAGAGTTCTCTGAGGGCTTTGGTTTGGGATTTGATAGGGCTGTGGAGTTTAGATTTTTGGCTTATACGGTTGTGAATCAGATTTGGGATTTAGGCCGAATTAATTACCAATACTATGCTGGGGGTTCCTTATTATAAGTATAGTGCAATATCGCCCGAAACCTAGTCTATTTATTGGCCTCTACATTTATAAACCCTAAACCCTAAACTCTAAACCCTAGTCTATTTATCGGCTTCTACATTATCAACCCTAAACCCTAAATCCTCCACCCTGGAGGGCCGGTTGGAGTCCCACCGAACTATGAGGGCCCCTTTTCAGCACAGCGTTCGGGCCCATCTAGGGTCACGTTTAAGGGTCCCGTTTAAGGGTTCCTTAAAAGTTTCTATCAGGGTATCTATAACGGTTCCATAAGGGTAGTTCTCTATTTAAGGGTCCTTTATTGAAAATTGCCGCTTTCCTTTGGGTTCCGAAAAAGGGACCCTAATTGACGATTGAAGGTAAGGCGTGCAACAGATGCTATGAGGTTGCTTTACAGCTTTAGGGTTATCGAGCAATAGGGGTTCCTATACCTCTAGGTCAACGCATTAACTATACAAGCACGTGGACATGTAGGGAATCATACTCGACCCCTGCAGCGTAGCCTGCACAGGAAACATACGAGCCTGGCGACCTCACGCGCGAGGCACACTTGCATTCTTGGATGCTCCTTAGGGTTTGGTGTTGAGGGCTTGGGCTTAGGGTCTTGGATTTGGAGTTCGGGCCTGCTGATGGCGTTTCTTAACCTATCGCCAATCTTTATGGTTGAGATCCTAGTCCTAGACGAGGAACAATGCAACAACAAATTGGAACAACAACTCAGGGTCTAGGAATTATGGTAAACCCCAGAGAGTTGGAAACCGGATTAAGGTTTAGGGTTTAGGGTTTAGGGTTTAGGATTTAGGGTTTAGGACAATTAGTGCTGGGATTCCCTACACATTACTCTTAAGGATGGAGCCTATTGGGTTTCCAACTTTTGGGCTTTGACTGTGGTAGGTTTGGTTTCACGCCTCGCAGGATTGAAAGGGTCCGGGTGCTAGTCTTTTCAGGGTCCAGGGCCCTAAACCCTAAACCAGGGGCTAGTCAATCCCAGAGTCAACGCATAGAAAGTCCTCTAAGTCGGCAGCCTGTCTCGGAAGGTTTAGGGTTTCGGGGTTTGGGTTTATAGGGATTGTAGGGTTTATGGGGTTTATAGGTTTATAGTTTAGGGTTTAGGGTTTTTGTTAGCTTTATGCCACTTTTGGTGGTTCGAAGGTGTAGGTTCGGATTTGTAAGATGACCTGTGCAAGAGAGCAGCTCCTGCAGGAATGTGTGTGGGCCCTGACACCTGACAACCAGTGTATGTCTGAAAGAGACCTGCATGAGCACTATAGCTGAACTCCAAGCCACATCCCTACCGAGATAATCCTTAGCAAATAATATAGGGGCCTTAATAATTAGAGTGGGGTTTGGGGGCCCATAATTATAATGAGGAACCCCCAAAATATTATTGGTAATTACTTAGGCTCCTACATCAGCGGCCGTACTTAATTTTCGTATTCCTTGGGTCGACACCAAAGCTCCCGAAACGGAACACCTCAACCCAAAAAGCCCTGATCAGAAGGTCACACGCCGGGTGCAGAACACTGTGAACGAGTTCACGGGGAAAGAGAGCCGCTCTGTTTGGGATTTAGGGTTTAGGGTTTAGGGGCTTAGCTTTAACACTTAGAATAGGGTTCCTTTTAGGGTTACTCCAATGGGCCTCCACAATTTGAACGGTTTTTGGGATTTTGGGGGTATACTATGAGGCTAGAACCAGTATACGTAGATTACTATTGGCTATACAGGATCGTATGCGTAACTATGCAAGCATCTGTGAATCCTCCAGCCCCACCTAAGCTAGGCCTTCGACTTTCGTGTTAGAGGGCCCTAGCCGCAGAATTGGTAAGCCAAGAGAAGGAATGGGTTGAAGGTTGGAGTTTGATGCAGGCAGGTGAGCGAATTTGCTGTGGTCTCATTGCTTGAGTGCTCTAAACCCTAAACCCTAAACCCTGAACCCTAAACCATACCCTAAACCCTGAACCCTGAACCCTAAACCATAAGCCCTACCATAAACCCTGGCCCTTAAATCCCGAAGCTCTAACAAGCACAGGCTATACCTTCGGAGATGTCACGAGGGAGCTGAACAACCGGCGCACAGCGTGGATGAAGAGCTACCTGGGCAAGGATCTTCTTGTGCAGTCTACCTAAACCCCTGCTGCAGACTGTAGTTCCGTTTTTGGCTACTTGTTTCCATCCATAGGGACACTAGCCATATACTGGACACTAGCCTCCAAATTGTGGTGACTTGATTCATTAAGGCCCTAGAAAGAGCCTAACCTCCTTATCAACAAACCGATGCAAACAACCCCTGCAGCAATCTGATAGCTTCAACCACGTTGAGCCACATGCAGTGCGTCCAGTGTTCTGATGTAGGGCTCCTCACCAAGAGCCGCAGGAAGGATACCAGTTTGGTGACCTGACGAAGAAGTTCATCACCGACTTCACCGGGAGCCTTTGAACAACGTCCAGAGTTTAGGCTCCAGAGTTTAGGACTCTTAGGTTTAGGGTTTAGGGTTTAGGGTTTAGGGTTTAGGGTTAAAACCCTTAACACGAAACCCTCAACAGCCCCGGAAGTCTTGCAGCCTTCAGCCCAAGGACCTGCGAACAAAGACACACAACTTTATTGCCCAAAGCTTGTTATGGCTCTGCCTTTGTGTTGGGACCGTAGGACGGCCTTTATAGTGCTCACGAGCTCTACCGCCAGCACCACCATGATAGCGATGACAGTGGTGGCAGTGATGTTGGTGATGGTACCATTCGTGGTGATGGTGCCGATGCTCAAGAGGTTGAGCGTACACAAGCTCAGTACCTTGCTGATGGTGATGCTGTTGATTCTGTCGATGAGGAATGCCGGGGTGGCAAAGCCAAGCAGTAGCGATGGTTGCTATCAGATCCGAGGAAAGAGGATTACCAGTTCGGGGACATCACGAAGAAAGTGCTGTCCGACTTCACTGGCAAAGAGCATTTCACGCAGCTCAGACATGGCACTGCCTGCCTTAACCCTAAACCCCTGAACCCCTAAACCCTAAACTCTAAAACCCTAAACCCCCGAACCCCTAAACCCTAATTCCACATGGGTAGTTATCAAAATTATGGTCCCTTTGGGGGTACCCTAAATAATAGGTGCCGTATTATAATAAGGACCCAAAAAAGGACCATAATTTTGACAACCACCCACATCAGGTAAAGGTAAAGGGTGGCAGCTTCGGGGTCTAGGAGTTTGCCCAGTATTAAGGATAGATTCCGGAGTCGAAGGTTCAAGGCTTGGTGGCGGTGGTCTAGTAGCACCTTAGCCCCTAAGCCCGAAACCCGAAACCCGAAACCGAAATGTGGGGGGGGGGGGTTAGGGATCAGAATGGCTGAAGCTTTGAGGTGGTATGGCATGAAAGACGGGGTCTACAAATCAGATGTCAGGTACGCCCCCAAGACGCCCGATCCGGAACAAAGAGCAACTTAGTGTAAGGGCCTGAGAACTAGAATAGGGTTTTTGGGCATATTATATTAGATACACTCACTCTTAATGAATGGGACCCGCACTACTTATATTTGCTTCTTATCCACAACTCCAAACGTTCTGTCTACTGCCTGGCCATTGAGATCTTCAAAGTACCCACCAATTCAATACTTTGGTGTTGGGGCAGTAGTTCGTAGGTCTAGCCCCAAAACCCTAGGCCCTAAATCCTAAGCCCCAAAACCCTAAGCCCTAAACCCTAGGCCCTACACTGAAAGCCTTGTACTATGAAGGTGGAGAGGATATGACCATTCTTAGCCCATAGGGTTGGTCCTCTTAGGATTCTCCTTAGGATTCTCGGTTTGGGGTTTAGGGGTTTTATGGGGGGGGGTTTACCAGCTTTTGGGGCTTAGGGTCTAGGACGGGGATTTCGGATTCTCCTATATCCTCGGAGTGTCCCGATGTAGCTTGCCTGGGAGATTCTGGGTCAACTTCGAGAGTTCGGGGTGTAAGCTTAGGTTTTCGAACAGGGTCGTAAGGACCCATATAGCAGTATTTTGGGTTACTATCGCCTAAACCCTAAACCCTAAACCCACTTGGGACCTTTAGGGCTCAGGCACTGCAAACCGCCTAGGCCATGCTTGCCTGAGGCTGGACGACGTCGGCCGAGCTGTCGGCGAGAAGCTCTTCGGCAACAAGCCGACGAAGAAGTGAATGGCTTTATTAGGCTTGGGGGTCCAGGATTTAAGGGTTTTCGATGGTTTTCGCTTAAGTTCAGGCGGTTTTGCTCCAAGGCTCAAAAAGGCCCAAGAGCCGTGTATAGTTCGTGATGGCTGGAGTTTTAATGACATTTTTTGCTCGAGTCGATGGGACTAGCGAAGAGGCCCTAAAGTCAAAGCAAGCTGTGTCGGTTTAGGGTTTAGGGTTTAGGGTTTAGGGTTTAGGGTTTAGGGTATGACATTTACCGTTGCAGAGCGAAGAGTTCTCGGGCGGTCTATCTTCATCCAGTTTATGTATCCCTGAAACCCGACGCGTGAACCTAAACCCTAAACCCTAAACCCTAAAACCTAAACCAATGGCCTAGATCGAATCATCTCGATACCTGGTCTCAAGCGAGACGAGCATCGCGGGGTTTCACAAACCGCGGCTACAGCGCAGCACAGATGCGTGACCTGAGGTGAAAGAGACAGCAAGTGCGTGGTATCCTTCTATAATAAGCCCCGGCCACGAACCCTCCCCCGAAACCCTAAACCCTAAACCCTAAACCCTAAACCCTAAACCCTAAACCCTAAACCCTAAACCCTAAACCCGAAGCCTCTACCCCAAAGCCCGACGAACTGGGACAAAAACATGTAGAGTCTAGGGTTGAGGGTGTAGGGTTTGGGGCACTACTATGCCATTCTATGCACTGAACTTCAAATTTTGAAACCCTAAACCCTAAATCCAGGGATCCTAAACCCTAAACCCTACACCCCTAAACCCTAGACCCCTAAACCCTAAACCCTAAATCGAGGGATCCTAGACCCTGAACCTCGGACCCGACATGGCATCCTTCAAGGGTTCTAAGAAGGACGGGGGGGGGGAGCTCGAAGAGACACACAGCGCCTCCATAGTAGGGAGCTAGGGCTTGGGTTTGTGGTGTTACGGTTTAGAGTTTAGGGTTTAAGGGTTTGGGGTTTAGGGTTTAGGGGTTTAGGGTTTAGGGTTTAGGGGTTTGGGGTTTAGGGTTTAGGGGTGCTGGCTTCAGGGTGAAGGCTCTAGCAAAGTGGGTTTTGGGCCTTGGCTTTTGTGATTCTCAACTTTTGTGTAGTGTGCTTGGTCCTAATCGAGGGGTCGGAAGCTGCAGGAGTAGTGTGCGTTAATAGTCCTATAAGATCAGAGTATCATAGGCCCACAAATCCCCTATCAAAGCCCCATTTGTTCTAATTTTCTTCCCGTTGTGACGAACCTGATACTGCACACCCTACACCTTTAAAGCCTAAACTCAAAAATCTCAGGTCAGACCCGTGCAAAGGCAAGCTACGCAGGCCTGTGCCCTACAGGCCCCTGCCCTCTATATTAGGGTTTAGGGTTTAGGGTTTAGGGTTTAGGGCCCAAAACCCCAGACCCTGCACGCCAAACCCTTGGCTCCCCAATCTATCGCCCTATCCTCCCCGAAACAAAGAAGCCAAACAAAGAATCCTAAACCCTAAACCTGAAATCCCAAAACCACGTGTGCTCCGGAGCTTTTGCCAGGTCACCAAGGACAGCGCAGAGACGCTTAGCCTGGCAGATGATATCTACATCGAGGAGTCTTTGATGGGGTTGAGGGTTTACGGTTCAGGGTCTGTAATTAGTTCATGAGGTTTGGGGGTTTCAAGGTCTAAGAAAATCTCCAAGAGGAAAAGCTTTTACGCTTAGGCTTAAGATTCTTCAGAGGTTTGGGTTTTGGGGGTTTGGGGTTTCGGTGGGTGGTTTTTAGGCCTTGCGCCGAGAGTTTACCGGGGAGTGGAGGAGGAGGCCTCGGCTTGGGCTTGGGGTTTGGAGTCTCAAGGTTGAAAGCTCGAGGGACTATAGGCTCTACCCATAGGCCCAAAAGTAGTTCCTTTTTGGGGTTCATATATAGAATCCTATAAGGTAACCCCAAAAAGGAACTACTATGGGGCCTATGGGTAGGCTCTACTAGGGTCTGCACCGATGGTTCCTGTTGAAAGAAGCCGTAAAGGTCCATGTTCTGCCGGTATGTCTGTTGATGAGCATATGGTTATAGGGCCCCTGCTTTTAAGGCCATTTGGTCCTTAAGGTTAAGGCTTTACAGTGGGTTCTACAAGGGTTTAGGTTTAGGGTTAAGGGGTTTAGGGTAATATAGGGGTTGCATGTACCTAGACCGTGGGCACCCCTCCTCCGGGTTTGTTTATCTTTATTTTTTAGGGCTTGGGGTTTCCTGGTCTAGCTGCTTATAGTTCATATAGGTTGGGCAGGGCATTATCAGGCAAACCTCGTAGCTCTTAAGACGTGCCCTTGACTTGCGGCGCCGACTTGTTGTTGAGATTTTTCCTGTTTTCCATGGTGCTAGTTCCATCAGCCCTAACCCCTAACCCTTTACGCTCCAGCGCTGACTGCACAGTCCGTATTAGGAAATAATCGGATGGTAGGGGAATCTTTCTGAGGAATTTCAGAGACATCGTTTGCGGACAGTCGCCTGCGGACAGAACAACCAGAGCCTCAAGGATCACCCGTTTTTTGGGACGCTACATATGGTTTTCAGCACTCACCGCACACCTATTATTTGCCCATCTGAAATTTGACGAAAGGAGTAGGGGACACCTTCAAGCAGACCTTTTTAATTGCAGACTCGTGAATACCAGGAGCAAAAAACGTACCCATGATGTTCAGAACCCCCCAGACCCTAAATCCCTGCATCCAAGTAGATGAATTTCAAGCCCAAGACTAAGAGGAACTCCGGAAGACGGGCCACTACGACAAGATTGGCCAGGTGGGTTGTACCGATTGCCTGTGGTGTTTGGGGTTTAGGCTTTCGGTGTTTGGATTTCAGGGTGTAGTGTTGAGCTGATTTAGGAGTTAGGCATCCGGGATTCAGGGTTTCGGGCTCAGGGTGTAGAGCTTGGGGTTTTGGGTTTAGGGTTTAGGGAGCTTGCGGTTAAGACTTTAGGTTTTTGGGCCTGGGATGATTCACTTTGCGTTTCGGGCATGGGGGTGTTAGCCCGGGTTCGGTTCCTCGTGTAAGGTTTCTGGTTCAGGGTTTGAGGTCTAGGCTTATGTAATATAGGGGCCTCAATAAATACCTATAATATTTTGGGGGTTCCTTATTATAAGTATACGTATATACTATAAAGGACCCCCAAAACCGTTTCGAATGAAGGCCCTTATATTCGTCTAGGATAGAGTTCTAGGACACAGCAAGCCCGACAATGCCTCCACGGCCATTTATAGAGTGCTGTCTTGATATGGTTTTAGGGTTTAGGGTTTAGGGTTGGCCCTTTTGGGGCCGATTCTAGGGCTGACAGTACTGAGAACCTGGGATAAGATGTTGGGAGTCATCGCACTGCGCAAGATATCGCGGGTTAGATATAATGTTACGATAAATAGAACTACTCCAAAGCCTTTATCATAGCACTTATAACCTTACATACTTCGTCCCTTGATCCTCCAAGTACAGTCATTGCCTACTGCTGAGGCAGCCATTTACAAGGAGTAGCAGGCCACCGCTACAGACACTAAGGGCGAATCATGGAAACTTCCGAAGCTCTAGACCCCGACACTTGTACTCAGAGCTTCCCTACATCTGCAATGTAGTCCTTCGCTCACCTTCCCTAAATCCTAAAGCCTAAACCCTAAACCGTAGAGCAAGATGGAGGAACACCGGAGCCCCTGCAAAGTCCGAAGGCGTCAAACCTAGAACCCTAAAGCCCACAAGTCCTACAGCCCCAAGAGGCCTTTGCCGTACTCCTGCCGACCGTGCGCTCTGTTGGCGTCATGGGAGACCATAGGCCCCAACTGCAGCTTATAGAAGTGTTGAAGGGTTTAAGGTTTGAGGCTTTTGGGGGCTGCAAGATTACACGGTTCTAGGGTTCACAGAAGGTTTAGGGCGCGTTTGGGGGTTTCGGGGTTAGGATTTGGTAGCGTCTAGCCTAGCTGCAGCCGCAACTACCTGGCCTTTGCCTATGAGAGAAGATTCTGTAGCCATTTGGCAGTTGGGCATGGGGGCTTGGGGGTCGGGTCGTTCTTTCTGTGTTGTTGCCTGGGTTTTCCTTACCATAGGACGGCACGGTTGGTTTCGGGGAGGGTTTAGCACTGAGGCTTCAGTGCTTCGCGTGCAGGGTTTCGGGGTTTGGGCGTGCTCCGATTCGTTACGCCACCTTCAAGGTGGGATGAGATTCGGATGGTTTGACTTCCGACGTCTAGGGCTATTTCACACCAGGCCGGACTGCCCATAAGGTAGTTAGACCCTGAAGACCTAGAACTAACTATGTGTAAGGCTGCAATGGCATTTTGGAAATCTGAATTGTCAGGACCTACGAGAACGTGTGCGTTCTCAGAGCAGTGACGACGACCGACTTCATGACGGTGAAGAGCTCGGAGAATTCTCGACCACGATTGACCGTGTTGAGGGCTTCGGAAACGTCTGGTTTCATGAATCCGCAATCGTATAGGCCTTAACCGTGACTATGTTTCCAGACCCTCCGCAGCACGTTGTATAGTCTAGTGAGAAAGCGCCCAATGTCTCAAGGGCACCGTGCAGGACAATGTCTTTGCACGTTTTGAGTACATGAGGAGATTGCTCAGTAACCCCCAAGCATGTCAAAATGCCCTCCAATTGCCTAAAGGCCTCAGCATGTAGTCCTCCTTCTTCGAGATTGGAGAACCGTAAACCCCTAAACTTTCCCCCTAAACCCTAAACCCTAAACCCTAAACCCTAAACTCCTAAACCCTAAACCCTAAACCCTAAACCCTAAACTCCTAAACCCTAAACCCTAAACCCAAACTCCTTGTCTTCTCCCAGGTTGAAACAACCCAGAACTGAAATCCCTCATCCTGAATTCTCTACAACCACTGTTGCCCTTATTTACAAGCCTAGTTCGCACGTCCTCTGATACTTCAGAAACCCTAAACCCTAAACCCTAAACCCTAACCCTAAACCCTAAACCTGAAGTGCCTGAAGCATATTGAAGGCTCTGCCTGAGTTCTCGCTTTGGTCGCACCGAGAACTAGCA